AAGGAAGGAAGGAAGGAAGGAAGGAAGGAAGGAAGGAAGGAAGGAAGGAAGGAAATAAAGAATCGAGTAAAGAGAAAGCCCACAGAATGGTAGAGAATCTTTACCATCTGTAAATATGACAAAAGGATTGATATTCGGGAAATATAAAGAATTCAGGGGTTGGGGATCTAGCTCAGTGGTAGAGCGCTTGCCTAGCAAGCACAAGGCCCTGGGTTCGGTCCTCAGCTCTGAAAAAAAAAAAAAAAAGAATTCAAAATACAGTTAAAGGGGGAAAAAAAAACAATCCATTCAGAAATGGGCTTGGGATATGAACAAGGAGTTCTTTTTGTTTGTTATGCTTTTCAAGACAGGGTTTCTCTGTGTAGCCCTGGCTGTCCTGGAATTTACTCTGTAGAGCAGGTTGGCCTCAAACTCAGAGATCTACCTGCCTCTGCCTCCCAGCTTAAAGGTGTGCACCACCACACCCGGCTCAGGGAGTTCTTTTAAAAAATAAATAAATAAAAATGGCTGAGAAATCGCTCTCCAAAAAATGTTCATCATCCCTAACAAAAACTAAAACAACTTGGAGATTTCATCTTACCCTAAAACAAAACAAAACCAACAATAAATGCTGGAGAAGATGTGGTGAACTCTCATCTTCTAAGGGCAGGATTGCAAATTGCTGCAGCTACTCTGGAAATCAGTGTGGAGAACTCTGAAAAAGTTACAAATAAATCTACCATATGAGCCAGCTATACCACTTCTTGACATATGTCCAAAGACTCAACATCCCAATCTACCAAAACTTGCTCAGCTGTCTCAACTGCCGCTCTATGCATACAAGATGGGACATAGAAGCTACAAAAACGCCCTTCAACTGATGAATGGATAATGTGGTACATACACGAGGGACTACTATTCGGCTGTAAGGAAAAATGAAATCATGAATATGCAGGTAAATGGATGGAACTGGGAAGAAAAAAAATTCACACTGAGTGAAGTAACTCAGATCCACAAAGATAAACACATCGTGTTCTCTCCCATCTGAAGTTTCCTAGGCACAAATCTTCAGATGTGAGTATATAATCTGAAGTGAATAAAGAAGCCAGAAAAGTAAAAGGGACTATGGAGAAAAAGAGAGGAGCAATAGAGAGGAATAATAGGGTATGAGTGATTTTGAAAAAAAACTGATGAAGGAATTTTAATTACAGAATGGGAAGGACATTATTTCAGAAGGAGGGAGGAGAATAAACTAACATTCAGGATGCCTAAAAAAGTCATAAGGAATCATGTTATTATCTAAAATTACATATAATACATATACATATATAGTTAAATAAAATTTCCCTATTGGGCTGAAAATGTTCCCTTCAAAAGCCACAGACTTAAGAAAAAAACCTACACTAGACATGAAAAGCTCCTTATTGAGTCATTGGTCAGGGTTATCCAGAGACTTCCAAAATACAGGCTATTGTTGCCCTGGGTTGCCTCCCAGAGTTTGACAGTAACTTCCTATAGCTTAAGATATCATGTTCTGCCGGGCGGTGGTGGCGCACGCCTTTAATCCCAGCACTTGGGAGGCAGAGGCAGGCGGATCTCTGTGAGTTCGAGGCCAGCCTCGAAAAACCAAAAAAAAAAAAAAAAAGATATCATGTTCTGCCAGGGCTGGAGGGGCTGGGGGTAGCACACACCTTTAATCCCAGCACTCAAGAGGCAGAAGCAGAAAGAACTCTGAGTTCCACGCCAGCTTGGTCTACAAAGTGAGTTCCAGGACAGCCAGGACTGTTACACAGAGAAACCCAGTCTCCAAAATCAAAAACAAAAAGCTAGACATCATATTCTTCTGAAACATGACCTAAAGAATCCAATCTAGTTCTAATCTGAAAGCCTCTTCACTGAGGACAAGCTTTCATACGAGAAGACTCCATGCAAGCTTCCAAGAGAGAGAAGTAATCAATATTCCTCTTCAGTTATGATGCCGATGAACTAAAGCAATGGCAAGCATGAAGACATAGCAAAGGTGCAATTATGGTGCACATACCTTGGCAGTAAGCAATGTCTCCCTAATTAGACTCAAGGCCAGCTCAACAAGAAGGAAATCATGCCTGGTACTGGAAACGGTCAACAACAGTGAATTCACGGATCTACATGCTAAATATTATTCTACTCAGAGAAGGTATAAGACTCACGCATCAAAGAAATGTCTCTGTGTAACAAATGGAAATCATTCCAGAAAATCTCCACCAATCAAATGCAAAGAACAAGTAACTAAGTGAATGAAGCCCAGCCCTAACTGATCCACCTAAACACAACTCCTGAACCTAAGGCTCAGAAATCATAGCAGAAGAGGAGACAGGAAGATTTTAAGAGCCACAGGAGCAGGACATTTGCTAGAAATTTCAAAGAAGCGAAACCTATGAAATCCCAACAACATGGCTGTCTAAACAAGACCTGAAAACAAGGACTACACCAATAGACACCCTAAAATGAAAGAGGAAATCTCACAGGACCTATCCTAGAAAAAAAATAAGGACAACTAAGGAATGCTAAGAGCAAGAGAAATAGTCTTCCCCAGGGAAGAGCACCCAAATTGGTTATCTAATACCAAGTGATCAGCTCTGAAATCATATACATGCAAGTAAGTAACTTTATATAAACCGCGCAGGTTATATTTATATATTAGGAATATACATACATATATACATCATACATATATACAAACGTACACATACATAATAATTAAATAGATGCCATCAATTTGTGGAAAGAACATGAGGGTGCATGGGAAGGATGGGAGAAAAGGGAAGAGAGAAAGGGATGTAGTTTTATTTTCATATCAAAAATATATTTAAAATATAGAAGTAAAAAGTACAATGATTGCCGAGCCTATAAAGGAAATCTTACCAATGTGTTATATAGACTGATATCACCTTCTAGTCCACTTCGTCGGTGTTCAAATTTTACAATAGGCACTTTGGCAGTAGTTATAGGCAGAATGTTTCTTAAACCTGAGGGTAAGGGAACAAAAAAATTTAATCAAGTTAAATACTTTCTATAATGCTAAAAGTACTTTTTGTCATAAAGATAAGTCATGAAATTTTACCTGGATGCCTCTTAAGAATTTTTGCCAAATTTTCAATTATTTCCTTACAGTTTAATTTCTGGAAAAATAAATGAGAAAGTATGGTTCAATTTGACCTACTGTAAATTCTACCGTAACCATAGCATTTAATACTGGTACTTAAAATTTCTAATCATGAGTTGTATAACCTTGTTTACCAAGTAACAGTTCAAAGACCCCATCACCAACATAAACCTGGAACCTGGTAGAAATGCAGACTCTCAGGCCTTTCTATTAAGTATTCTAGGAAGATCCCAAGGGTATTCACACATTGACTGAAGTCTGAAAAGCATGAAGAAAGCAGAATGGTTTTCAATATGTGAATCTGTTTTTATAGAAAATTATCTATGATATCCATTCTTTTGGTTTTGAATGGGGGAATTTATTAAGAATGCAGTAAGTGGGAATAAAAGAATAAAACAGTAAGCACTAAAACATTAATAAGAGAGAAGCCCAGGTAACAAAACAGCAAGACCCTTTGAACAAGAGGATCTCAAGCAGAACATTTAGTCAGTTTACTTACTGTTTTACTGTTTTAGTCCTGGTACTATATATTCAATAAACTAGCTCATTTTAAAAAAAGAAAAAGAAAAAAGTACAGCTATTGTAGATCATTCTCTATATAAAACACAACTGGTGCAGTTGCAAGAGCTATAAGATGCCATTTCTGCTAAAACTTACTGAATGAAATTAAAGATAGGTTTAGTGAGGGCAAAACACTGTAATGATAAAGAACACAGGCACGCAAGTTAGAAAGACCCAGACTCAAATTTTAAAGTATTAACTGTTTTCATGACTGATTCTTAACACCTCCAAGCATCATACTACTATTCTATAAAGTCAAAATAATCATAAGTTTCTGACCTACAGAGTTACTGGAGAATTACATAAAACCTATTAAAAAGCATTCAGCAGCCCAGAGGTGAAGGCACATGCCTTTAATCCCAGCACTCAGGAGGCAAAGGCAGGCAGATCTCTATGAGTTTGAGGCCAGCCTGGTCTTCAGATAGTTCTAGGACATCCAGGACTGTTACACAGAAAAACCCTGTCTCCAAAAACCAAACAAAAACAAAACCCCAAAAGCACCATCAAGTCTGATACAAGAAATGCACTTGAAGTTTTTGAGCTATTTTTTTTTTTTTTTAATGATAATGTGGTGTTTCTGGTTCCAGGAAAGGCAAAGCTACACAGAGAAACCCTGTCTTGAAAAAAAAAAAATTAACCATGTGTATATGGAAATGTATGTGAGCATGCACTACCTGTGTGGGTGCCCAAGGAGGCTCAAGACCTCCAATCCTCTGGAACTGGAATTACAGGTAGCTTTTGAGCTGCCTGACTTGGGTGCTGAGAATCAAACTTGGGTCCTCTGGATGAGTAAGTAATACACTTTTTTTTTTTTTTTTTTTTTTTTTTTTTTTTTTTTGGTGGGTTTTTTTTTGTAGTTTTGCGCCTTTCCTGGAGCTCACTTGGTAGCCCAGGCTGGCCTCGAACTCACAGAGATCCGCCTGGCTCTGCCTCCCGAGTGCTGGGATTAAAGGCGTGCGCCACCACCGCCCGGCTGAGTAAGTAATACACTTTTAAGTGATGAGTCATTTCTCCAGCTTGTGAATTATTTTCTAACAGAAGATACACTGGTAGAACTACAGGTGCCCAAAAGCTTGACCTTGTTCCAACCTTACAAATGGTACCTGACTTTGAAACATAAATACTTAAGCAGGGTTGGGAATATGGCTCAGTTACAGAATGCTTGACTAGCATACACAAGGCTCTGGGTTCAATCTATAGGAACACTTGGGATTCGGAGTCAAGAGAGTGAGACGCTCTAGGCCAGACTGGGCTACATGACACCCTGTGATAATGTAGCACAGCACAGTATATACAGCACAGAACATCACTGCACAACACAGATAAAAACAAAACTAAAATAAATAGATGGAGCCAATGAGTTTTATCTGAGATATACATGATTATTGATAAAAAAAAAAATAAAACCAATAGATACACTGGTGAAAGATCTCTACAAGGGTCCATCCACTCCTCCTCTATGCTCTAACAATGGACTGAAACACTTCTCCCCTACCCAGTCAGTCTCCTTCACTAGAGTTGGGACACACTCATTCACATGAACAAAGTTGGGAACACAAAGAAAAGCATGCCCATAACCCCACTGCTGAGACTGTACTGGGAAAAATGTCTCCTTATATATCAAGATTATTTAGAGAACTTTCAACTTCATAAATAGAGGTTTGATTCTACATTATCATTAATACTATAGTCGGCTACATTATGGGCTAAGAAAATAATTACAGAGCGGCAGTAAGATACAATATGAAGAGCAGGAACCACACAACCCTAGACAGAAATGCTGGCTTCAACATGTACAAGGTGAGTGAGGTGTGGTTAAATAAGTCAATTTGTCTTTTTTGGGGGGAAGGGGTACCATTTATTTATTTGTTTGTTTGTTTATTTACTTGTATGAAGGAAGAGGGAGCACCACAGCACACAGGGAGGTCAGAGGACAACTTGCTGCAGCTAGTTCTCTCTCCTTCCACCACGTGGATCCCAGGATCAAACTTAGGTTATCAGGCTTGGAAACAACCATCTTTACCTACTGTACTATCTCTACAGACCCTGGCTTATCTTTCGAAGCGTCAATCTTCTCATTTTGAAAATGGGGTAATTAATAACTACCTCAAAATGGGTTAAGAATGAAAAAGAATAAAGCATGTGTAAGTGTATACAGCAACTGAATAAATGTTAGTTTCCCCTCCCATCCAAAGTAAAATTTCTAACCTTCAGTCATTTTAACATTGGTTCTATGGAAAAGATGCCACCACCCTAAAATTACAATTAATTTTTAGAATGTAATCCATTTATAAATTAGACTACTGCCTGTATTTTCTACTTACAGAATACATAACAGAGTGAGAGAGAGTGTAAAAAAGAAACAGAGTAACCAAGATCAATGCTTACAACCAAATAGAAGTAACAGCTTCTCATTGGGTCTAATGGAAGAATTCCAACTTGTGGTTAGCTCCTCCAATTCATTATCAGACTCTTGAAAGTTTCAAAGACCTAGCTGTTATATTCAAACAGGATGAATATCCATGTCTGGGTCCATGGCCCCATGGTGGCTGGTGTCTAAGGTGGTGAGCGTGGCTCATGTTGCCAGCAAAGGCTCTGTAGATGCCTGGGGTCTGGTACCCGAAGGCCAAGGCGCCACAGCGGCTGTGCTAATCTGGATGTACTGTGCTGCCACCAGGGCCGTGGTGGTATATGGACCTAAGCTGCTGCAGAGGGCCATGTCTGGGTCCAGGTCGTACTGCAACTGGGGTCTGTGGTGATATCCATGGACTGTGTTAGCATGGAGGTCATTGGAACTATGCTGTGCTGCACCATCACTGCCCTTCACTGGCCCTGACCCTTGTGGATACTGCAGCAGGTAAGCTGTCCCTACTCCTCAGGGGAGAGCTTGCCAGCACTAGGAAAAGATGGCCCCACCCCTCACCACAGGCATGCACCTCACCTGGGCAGCACACTAGAACTGACCCTGCCCTACCTCATCTGCCATTCAGTGGCATGGGTGAAGGAAAGATGCCCTCCCCACTGGGGCCCTTATCGGTGGCAGGCAAGAAAGCTGGCACTGAGGTCCTAGAGTGAGAAAACTAGCTGCAGTACAAAGGAGAGTGGGCCCTGCACCCTGCCTGGGCAGCACACTAGAGCTGACCCTGTTAGGGGGAATGGGGCAAGGATGGACAAGAAAATGAGCTAGCCCTAAGGGCATGAGAGCAGGAGAACTAACCTCCTTGCACGCCTACCCTCATATTCCCCCTACAGCAATCAGGACAGAGGGCCTTGCACCTTGACTGGACAAAACAGTAGAGCTGGCTCTGGTGATGTGAATGTGGGGTACCTGGATCTAAGGACCAGAGAGGAGAACTGGCCCAACTCCTAGCTGTAGGCTGCACTGGATGAGCTAGCCGAAGCAGTTCTGGAGAGCTCACCTGGGTAGTGATCATGAGAAGAAGTTGGTGGGCTGACCAACCCAGATACCACCCAGGTGCAGAACCAGGGTTATGAGTTTGCCCACCCCAACCTCCATCAAATCTATGAACTTCTGAAGCATGTGAAAGGGATGAACTGTAGTCGAGTATCAGATGTGTTACTTTTGCTTACATTGCATTTGTTTAACTCTGTGAAGCTGCATTACTGTGCCTGTCAAGGCAGGAGAAAGGACAGGAGGGGCTGGCAGGCAGAGAGAATATATAGAGGGAGAAATCTGGGAGAAGGGAGAGAGGAGCCAGAGAAGGAAGAGGACTCCAGGGGCCAGCCACCCAGCTACACAGCAAGCCCCGGAGAAAGAGTAAGATTTACAGAAGTTAGAGAACAGGAAAAACCCAGAGGCAAAAGGTAGTCAAAATAAGTTAAAGCTGGCAAGAAACTAAGCCAAGCTAAGGCCAGGCACTTATAAGTAAGAATAAGCTTCCATGTCTGATTTGTTTGGGAGTTGGGTGGCGTGCCCCCCCCCCCAAAGACCCAAAACTAATAACCACAAACCAACAGATCCAAAATAGCAGGATCTCATGACACAGAACCACAACAGGATGTCCAAGAGGAGCCCCAGAGAGAGCCCATTATAGGTGGTGTAACAGAAACCAAAGGCCTCAAGCCTGACCAATGACTTGTGACAATGAACACTTGCAAGCAAAGACAAATGGATAAAGGGTAAACTGTGTGACTCAAAGAGCCACACTACAGCTTCCACAAGATTCTTCTTTTTTGTTTCTTTGTTTTGTTTGGTTTTTGGGTTTTATTTTAAATTTGGTTTTGATTTGGCAGGGAGGTTCTAAGTGCAGAGGGCAAATGTGAGGAGATGTGGAGATAAGTAGGATCAGAATGCATGATATGAATACACAAAAAAAAATCAATAAAAGATTAAAAAAAGGATGAATAGTAAATTAACTTGTTTTAAGTCTGAATATTTTTAACAGATTTCAACAGTTTGAATATCTTCTAAATCCGTAACGCTAATGCTTCTACATCTCAAACACTACTACTAACACATTGATACAAAAAATGGTAATATGTATAATTAGTATCATGTACAAAATTAACACATTAACCATTAGACAAAAAACAAACTTTCAAATCCCTTCAAATATTAACTCTTACCTCTGCATTTTCATGGCCTTCCAGAGTCATACAAATATCCAGATCACTATCACGGAATCCAAATCCATTCTTTGAAGAACCAAATAAACACAATCTTGCCTTTTCTAAGCTCAAGAAAACAAGTCAATGAGCAGATTAGAGGAGTAACCCAACATCTACAAATAGCTTAACACAAAGTGATACACTGAGAAATTCCAAAACATCCAACCCTAGCTAGGATCTTTTGCTTAGGTTCTTTTTTTCCCCTTGGTTTTTTGAGACAGGGTTTCTCTATGCAGCACTGGCTGTCCTAGAACTCAATCTGTGGACCAGGCTGGCCTCAAACTCACAAAGATCAGCCTGACTCTGCCTCCCAAGTACTGGGATTAAAGGCTTGCTTAGGTTCTTATGCCCAAGTAGCTAACTGCATTTTCTTTTTAACATGTCATAAACCGAACATGCCTAAACTACCACATTCAAACCTTCTATTATTCCTATAATCCCAACTGTGATTGGTAAAGTTCATTGTCAGTTTTATGGGGGGAATCTCTAGACATGTTTATGAGAGATTATCTAGATTATGTTAACTGAAGTGGCAAGATCCACCCTTAATGTGGGTGATATGATTCCATGGGCTAAATAAAAAGGAGAAATTGAGGTGAACACAAGCATTCATTATTTCCTGCTTCCTAACTGGATACATTGTGACCAGCTGTCTCCTGTTCCTGCTACCATGATGGATCCTAGTCCTGGAAACTATAAGCCAAAATAAATCCTTCCATAAATTACTTTTCTCAGGTATTTTGTCAAAGCAATGAGACAAGTAATTAAAACACCAACTCTCAGCAATCTATTTAAGATGCTCACCAGAAATATATAAGGTCCTTAATACCTTGCTCAACCTACATAAGCCAATCACCAAGACCTTTAGCTTCTTCCAACTGAACTACCTACCACTTACTGTTGTTCTTCAACACCAGTACCAAAGGTTAAGCTCAATAGCCTATAACTTGACTCTCAAAAGTAAACTAGTTCTTTCAATGTACAATTTTAAGTACTTTTAAATTATCACCTCAATATATAGGGTCAATTTTCCTCCCATAATCACTCTAATTCACTAGATATAAATCATGTTAGAGTTATGCCTTGTCATTTACACATTTATATTAATTTGTTTATTAGTTGGAGCATGCCACCATGCACATGTGGACAGAGGAAAACTTGTGTGGGTTGGATCTCTCTTTTCACTGAGTGAGTCCCAGAGATTGAACTCAGATTGTCAGACTTGTTGGCAAGTGACTTTATCTGCTGAGCCATTTCCTTGTCCCTTAATTACATAGACAACAAATCCTATATTTTGGGAAGAAAAAAAAATCTGTCCACGTAATACTGATTAAATTTCAATGATAACTAAGGGGATAAAAGAACCTATGGTGCTCACTTCAGCAGCACATATACCAAGACTGGGACAATATAGAGATTAGCAAGGCCTCTCTGCAAAGATGGCATATAAACTTGTGATGCATTCCAAATATTTTTAAAACTTTATTTGTGCATGTGTGTGTGTACCACAACACATGCGTGGAGATCAGAAAACAATTCATGGAAGTTGGTTGTCTCCCTCCATCTAAAGAATCAAATTCAGGTCACTAGGCTGAGAACCTTTACCCAATGAGTCATCTCACTAGTCCAAGTGTTCTATATTTTTATGAGTTTTACTTTGAATTCTACTAAAGTAAAATATCCTTTAAAGTATTCTCAATATAAAATATTTCAAGGTATGAGACTGTTTCTCAAATATACAATATATTCATAAAAAGAGGCAATGATGATCAAATAGAATTGAGTATGAGCTTTATCTAAAAGAGAAGGGGGACTTCAGATTGGTCTGGACCTCATCACATAGGATAGGTGGCCAGGGAGCACCAGGGACAGAAGGCCTGTCTTTGCCTCCTCAGTACTGAGTTTACAAATGTGTACAAACGTGTATTCGTGGGCATGTATGTGTGGGCGTGTATGCACACATGCATGCAAGTTCTGGTACAGACCAAAAGAGTGTTGTGTCTCTAGAATTACGGACAGTCCACTGGACACTGAGAACTGAACTCAGGTTCTCTGGAAGTGTTCTCATTCACTGAGCCATCTCAGCCCCTGCACTCTATGTTTTTACATTGGTTCTGAGAATAAAACTCAGGTCCTCATGCTTACCACATTTACAAGTGAGCCATCTCCGATGCTCTAAATAAATTACTATAAATATCCTTTTCTAAAATATGTGATCATAGACCTCTTGATTCTTTATGCTCACACTAAAAATTTGCTCTGCTATTCTGGAGCAAAAGCCTTCAGATCATGCTTAGTTTTTCTTTCTTTTACACCACACATGCACTAGCAATTCCTGTTACCCTCAAATGTAACCCAATTCTGACCTCTTACCTCCTCCACTCCTGTGCTTCATCTACACTTATGTCACAGTTCTCTGCAATGTTCTTGCTTGTACTCTTAGAGTGCTATAATCTGTTTTCTGAGATGATATCACTTAATGCTAAAAATTCTACATAGCTTTCATTAAACAAAAAGTCCTTGTACCAATGTCCAAAGGGTTCTAATGATCTAATCTTTAGGATACCTCTATGACCTCATCTTTCTATTACAACATATCTTACACATCCCACTCCAAACACACTGAACCTCCAATCAGTCTTTAAAAATGTCAGACATAATCTAAGACTCGGTACCCACCCTTTCTTTCCTATAATGTTCTCTCCTTGGAAATTCATATAATGTGTTCCTTCATATTATTCAGACTCAACTCAAATGCTACCTCATGAGAGATTTACTACACCATCTATCACTTCTTTTATCATCACACTTTTAATAGCATTTACTATTTATTGATTATATTTATTTAACTTGACTGCTATACCCCCTTAAATATACTCATGAGAGCAGTTTCTCAGTAATACAGCCACAGAAACTAGAATAGTACTTAACATGTAACAGTTAAACATTTTTAAGTCAATCAAAATCAAAACCATGTGATTATAGTAACAACAACAACAACAACAACAACAACCAACTTTTAGCCTATGACATACCATCATATTCTTTTTGAATAAACTTTTCCAAGCCAATTAAAATTTGCTCCCTGTTGTGCTGCTCAGAGCAAGGTGGTGATAATTCATCTATATGAAAAAGAGAAAGAAAAGCGAAAATAGAATATAAAAATTCCTTCAGATCTTTAACCTAAAAATTTTTATTCAACGTTTTCACTACTTATGACTTTAAAACCATAAATGATATTAGAGAAAGGGCAAGGGGACAAAAAAGAAAAAAGATTTTAAATATATTTATGTTATACATGATAATTTTCCTTATAATCTACAAATACATTTACCTTTTGAAACTAATTAATACTGTCTTCTTCAGATATTTAACCCTTTCCCACAATCATATTTCCCTCTATCTCACTGTGTTCAGTTTCCAAAGCATTCATTTAAATATCTTGTCAAGATTCCTATTTTTCCTATGAACTATTCAACCTCCTTGCAGCTTTGATATCTCACCTTGATTTAAATTTTATACTATTTCAAATTGCCTGCCACAGACTATCATGATTTTCTAATGTTTGCTGTTTGATTCTCAACAAGATCACACAAATATCTTAATAACAGTCTCCCTCACCCCATCTTCTCCAAAGACTCACACCCAAAACTCTATATAGTAACAGAAATAACATAAGAACTTACTTAAAAATTTGTTATGATTAATAATCACCTTTACAATTAATATTTACCTTTATAAAGGAAATATATTAGGCTGGAGGGATGGTTCTGAGCACTAGGTGCTATTCCATAGAACCCAGGTCCAATCCCCAGCACCCAGAAGATGGCTCATAACTGTCTGTAACTCCAGTTCTAGGGAATCTGATACTCTTTTTTTTTTTTTTTTTTTTCCTCCTTGAGACAGGGTTTCCCTGTGTAGTTTTGGTGCCTGTCCTGGATCTCCTGGATCTCGCTCTGTAGACCAGGCTGGCCTCAAACTCACAGAGATCCACTTGGCTCTGCCTTCTGAGTGCTGAGATTAAAGGTGTGGGCCACCACCGCCCAGCGATACTCTCTTCATGTGTTAATAGCATTTACTATTTATTGATTATATTTATGTACATGTGTTAAAAAGAGATTTGGTCCTAGACCAGGATGCTATTAAGATAGAACCTTTAAGAGGTATAACAATAGTATGAAGTCTTCCAATCATAGGGAACACATCCTTGAAGAGGAGAAATATTGGAATCCTACATGCTTCCTCTTCTCTTATGCATAGCAACTTTGAGAGGAATGGTTTTGTTATACCACGCACTTCTGCTACAATGGACCAACCACCTCAACATAGGCACAAAGTGAAAGAACGAATAGGCCCTAAACTAAATCCCCTCAAATACTAAGCCAAAATAAAACTATTTTTCTTTTAAGTTGATCCCTCTGAAATTTAGTCTAACATGATTAAATTCTAACACAAAAATCATGGAACCAAGAGTAAACCAAAGTGAATGAGAACAAAGTATAATGATATATATTTATAATGATTCCATGGAAACCCACTATTTTGAAGGCTAAAACTAAAAAAAATTAATAAAACTGTTATAAGGTATACAAATTTTACAAAATGATATGAGATCAAAGGATCTCAGGATGGAATGCAGACTGTGACAAAAGAATCTATTTTATGAATATATGAAAAGCCTTCACTCAAGGGAATAGGACAAAGGTAAAGAACCTAAGTAATTTTGAAAATGAATGTAAGCCTTCTAGTGAGTTCCACGGCTACAGAAACCCTGCTTCAAAAATAAAACAAAAACAGCTGGGCAGTGCTGGTGCACACCTTTAATCCCAGTGCTAGGGAAGCAGAGGCAGGTGGATCTCTGTGAGTTCAAGGCCAGAAGGTCTACAGAGTGAGTTCCAGGACAGCCAGGACTGTTACACATAGAAAAACAACAACAACAAAACAACCAAAGAGGTAGGAAAAAGCGTTGAGGATGCGATGGAAGAGAAGTAAGCAGCAGAGGTCACAACAGCTTGGCTCAGCAAGCATGCAATGGCACAGGCAGACCCTGTGCTGGGTAGGGACACCAAGGTGAATCACACACAGGTCCTACACTTGCAGTACCCATACACTAACTTCATATAGTTACTGAAAGCTTGAGATATGCCAGTTGAATTTTTAACTTTACTTAGCTTTAACTGATCCTAATTCAATAAGCACAAAAAATTAATAACTATAATATTAGATAACTCAATTATCCAGTCTAAGTGTCTTAAAGTGGACTCAATTGTATTTTCCTTAGCATTTAACACAGTACCCTGAATATGTTCAGCATTTAGTAAATAACTATGCTTGATCTTTATTAATAAAGGAACCCTCTGCCCAGTCAAAACTGAAAATTGTTTTTGAATTTAAAAATTTCAGTACCTAACAATCTACTTCCAGTAGTTTTAGTACCAAATACTTACCAAAACATCTTTTACATACTAAATCAAGTATTTCTCGAAATCGGTTTGTCATTGGTGGTAGAGGTTTTAGATCAATTTTCCTGAAATCCTCTGGGCAATCGTTTTTTGAATGGCCATCCTTTTTGCAGATGCTGCATACTATTGTTGGCGGCTAAATAATGGTTTAAAAAAAAAATCCAATGAACATTTAAGGTATTTCAATACTTAGAAAACAGAACCAAAAATATAGCAGCAACAAACACTATGCAGTTAACTTAGTTCGGACAACCTATTCATTCAGGAGATTCTTGTAACAAGCTGTTATGAAGTCCAATTAATATAAAAACATTTTAACTAGTTTCCTATCCCACCAAAATTACATAAAAAACAATTCAGCTGGAAATATAAGATACAGGAATTAGCAGGCAATACAAAAGGTTTGTATTAATTCAAACAGCCTGATCAACTCCCAAAGGAAACATATACCTTGTATTTATTTCTCTGGGTTTTTCCCCCCAACATTTATCTTTATTTTATAGTGTACTGGTGTTTTGCCTACACGTGTTATCTGTGCACCACTGGCATCTCTGGTGGCATCGGATTCCCAGGAACTGGAGTTACACATGATAGTGAGCTACCATGCCGAGGGTGGTACTAGAACCAGGGTCCTCTGAAAAAGCAGCCAGTGTACTGCTGAGCCATCTCTCTAGCCCCCATGTATCTGGTTTGTAAGACAGGGTTTCAGTAGCCCAAGTCGGCTTCAAACTGGTAACCAAGAACTTCTGATCCCCCTGCCTCTGTTTCCCGAGCGCTGGTATTACTGGTATGAACTACCACACTTTGTTTATATAGTGCTGGAAATAAAACTCTGGGCCTCATGCATATCAGTATTCTACCAATAAAGCTACATTCCACAGTTCCTACCTTGCATTATTAATTAACTGAGATCTAATAAAGTTATTCATAAAGAAATTTTAAACTGCATCTTTCATTTTACTCCAAATATTGTCTGTCTTCAGAATCAATCAAGCTAGTGTGTAAAACTGTATTATGGTTTGTTCTCTGGAGACTGATTCTAAAACTTAGGTCCATATAATGAAGTAGTTAATAGCTACTATCTGAATTTCCAAATTCTATGACATCATTTTAAATATTTTCTAGCAGAACACCAAGACAGGTGGATCAAATAGTAAATACTTATGCCAACTAGTTTAAAAAAAAAAAAAGCACACATGGTTAAGGAAGATTGCTATACCACATTGTTATTATGTATACTTAAAAGATTTCCTCCAATGTTAGCCTGGACATTTATATAGCCATAAACTCTTGATTCAAATTCTAAGGGGACCAGAGAGGTGGCTCAACATTTAAGATCACTGGCTGTTCTTGCAGAGGACCTGGATTTGATTCCTAAAACTCACAAGTCGACTCGCAACTATCTTTAACTTTAGTTCCAGGGGGAAAGACAACCTCTTCTGGCCTCATTAGGCACCAAACACATATGTGGTGCACATACACACATATAGGCAAAATACTCATACACGTAAAATTAAAAAAAGTAAACATCAGATTATATACATAACTTCTAGAGAAATAATGTCATAAAACATTATGGTTTTATGGTGGTGGCGCAAGCCTTTAATCCCAGCACTCGGGAGGCAGAGCCAGGCGGATCTCTGTGAGTTGGAGGCCAGCCTGGGCTACAGAGTGAGATCTAGGATAGCAACAAAACTACACAGAGAAACCCTGTCTCGAAGGGAAAAAAAAGTTATGTGGCTATGCAATTAAGAGTACTACAGAAACTGCTATCTGCTTTTCTCTTCTGTTTTTTGAGACAAAGTCTTACTGGCTATTCAATCCAAGTGGGTCTCAAACTGACAATTTCCCTGCTTTACTCTTCCAAGTGCTGGAATTACAGGCACACCTAGCCACAATGGATTTTTTTATGTTACAGATTACTAGTAAAGTAAAAATATAAGATATGGTACTTACCTTAGTATAAAATTGGGGGAGGGAGTTATTAGGAATGTAAACTATAATTCTTTAAGAGGTTTTTCTAACAATCTGTCATTTAGTTAGACTTTTCAACAGTCTATACAACTAAATACTGTGACCTGGATAATATGCAACATATGTAACCTTATACAAAATAAAGAAATACCACCTGGGTAGAGGAGGAAAAAAAAGGAGAAGTGTAGAGCCAAAGATACAAAACTTCATTTATACAAAATATACAGGTTCTGGGAAGCCACAGTTGTGTAGGCCTATGATTAATACTGTTTTACAATGTTAAAAACTTGCTAGAGATTAAAGTTACCACAAAACAAAACAAAACAAAAAAAAAAAAGGCAGAGAAAGGACTTTTTGAGATGATGGATATATTTGTGGCATTTGCAGTGGTCATGATTTCGTAGGTGTTGACTTATCTCTAACACATCAAAAGTTGTGCATGTATAATATCTATAGCCTTTTAAAATATTAATCTGGGCTGGAGAGATTGCTTAGCAGTTCAGAGCACTGGCTGCTCTTGCAGAGAATCCTGGATTCAATTCCTAGCACCCACATAGCAACTTACAACTATCTTTGTTAACTACAGTTCCCATGGATCCAATATCCTCTTCTGGCCTCTCAGGGCATCTGGCAGGCAAGTGTACAAAAACATACATGTAGGCAAAATACCAATACACATTAAATAAGAATAGTTTTTAAAAATCCAATCTTATCTTAATAGTATTTTTTAAAATCCCATATTATGTGCATGTGTATGCACCTGTGTGTGTGTGTGTGTGTGTGTGTGTGTGTGTGTGTTTGTGCGCGCGCACGCGCGCGCGCTTCCTGTGCCCACAGAGGTCAGGAGAGGAAGTCGTTCCATAGAACTGGACAGATGAGAGGTAAGCCAACAAGTGGATCTTCTTAACCACCTAGTCATCTCTCCAGTATCAACAAAACAGATTTTTTAAAAAAGAAATATTGCTCAATAAATAGGTTAACAAGCTTAAAGCTTGTCAACAAGTAATTACTGATAAAATAATAAGTGATTTTCAAGTTCATTTTTCCCTCAATAATGTGCTATGCTTACAATTAAGTATAAATAATCATTTTGTCATCTAGATGCAGATATTTTAGTAATATACACCGTACTTGAAGGAATGCAATTTAGCTAAAACTCTTTTATTAACTTATTACTCATTTTCTAGTCCCCATAGTACTTTGTACACTCTCAAGAGTTTAAGTTCAGATTCTTTTTTTTTTTTTTTTTTGTTTTTCGAGACAGGGTTTCTCTATGTAGTTTTGCGCCTTTCCTGGAACTCACTTGGTAGCCCAGGCTGGCCTTGAACTCACAGAGATCCGCCTGCCTCTGCCTCCCAAGTGCTGGGATTAAAGGCATGCGCCACCACCGCCCGGCTTAAGTTCAGATTCTTTCACTTAGAAGGACAGGACTCCTGTAATTCACAAAGGATATTAAAAAGGCCAGGAACGTTCAGTGTCAGAATAGAATCTAGATTCTCCATTTTTTTTGACACTTGTTCTTAGTTTTAACTACAACTTAACAGTCTAGTTATACATTCCCACCAAAAATAAAAAGAAAAAATTATTGAAATTTAAAACTTTGCTTTCTTTTTAAAGAGAAAAATAATTTTATATATATAAATGAGAACTTTAAAATATATACTGCTTTGCTAATCTGATTTTCATAATATCAGATAAATCATTTCACATATTTAAAAAAGAGAAGAAAACCAAATACTAGTAGATTTTTGATGCATTCTTATACTTTATATGCTCTGTTTAACTGAAACTACAGGGGAAATATAAAGAATAAAAGACAAATACACATCAAAGTATCATTCCAAAACAAGTCACTACCATAGAAGCTATTTTATGTTACTATTAATAAATCTAAAAACTATCAATAGGCATATAGTAACGACAAAGTTTTACCAATTGTTTACTGTATCCTACCTTGCCAGAGGTTAAAATAAACTTATCAAACACATAATACAATTCCTGGGAAGGGAGGTTATCATCATCAATAAAGTCAGAAGCAACTTCTGTAGCTTTGCAGTTGCAAGAGGTAGCAGATACATTGTTGCACACAATCTGATGTGAACTTTCCATTTCTGAATTTGATCTGCAGTCTGTTCCCGCAGATTCAGCTCCATCAGGTGACCCAATGTAATTACACTGGATGAGTTCCTTCTTTAAAGAAGTTTCTGAAGGTGTAAAATCACCTTGTTTCTCAACTGATTTTTGCTCTAATTCACTACCTTCACTGGCAGTAGAAAGAGATGAAGAATCTTGTCCATGGTCAGCCAAACCTAGTTCATTTACCAACAAATTGTCTTTGTCAACAATACATCTCTGTGATGTAAACTCCATTTCATCATCCTTAACAGGTTGACCTCTTTCTGCATTTACTTTTTCTGCACTTTCTCCAAGATGAATGCAACAGTTGGTCGCCATACAATCAGATTTCACTGGTTTCTTATTGCTTATTTTTCCCTTCTCTTTTTTCTTGAAATCCACTGAAGATTTATTTCCGCCCTTCCTTTGAGGACAAGCAAAATACCGATAAGCTGCCCTGAATCTCTCCACAACATATTCGTAAACAAGCTGGCTGTTTAAACTCCGTGCAACATTCCTCTTGACTGAAAATGGATCTAGTGAAAAAGAAAATGATCAATGGCTAAATTTCTACTAGCAAATTACATTTCCACGCTTACACAAACAGGTTTTAATAGCTACAATATAAACAGAGTTTATAAGTCTTCTAACCTAGGATCCTAATGAGTTCTAGAAAACAGAGCAGAAGAAAGACAAATGTGGTATCTTTTGTTTCTTCCATAAAATGAAAATCTAGAAGGGAAAAATTGATTTATAAGAGAATAGCTATAGTCCATTCAGTAATTAGTTTCAATCCTATTACTAGAAGCTGTGCCACTCTGCTTCCCTATACACTGCCACCGAATGAACATTTCAACTTCCAGGGCCCATAGTAACAACTTCATTTCTTGTCACAGTGTCTTTTAAAACCATGATCTTACTCTTAGCCCAAGCTGAACTAAACTCAATATGGCAATTCCCTCGCCTAAGCCCCCCAAGTGCTGTGATTGCAGGAATAAACAACTACATCTGGCTTTCTGTCATAGCATAATTATGTGCTTGGAATTTGATGGGGAACCCAGGCAATATCAATTGTCATTTTCTTCAGCATATCCAAGGAATAAAGCTTAGAATACAGTGTTAGATGGTAAGGAGCACACACACAAAACAGCTCACACATGTACAACAAACATATCATCTCACCTTCAATGGCTATTCGTCTTTTAGGCCAGTTCTTGTTCTCCCTTGTTAGAATATCCTGTATCCGTACACATATGACATATTCCTCCAAAGCAAAATCCAGTGTGTAAAATTTTAGCAACTCCAACCACAACTGTCCCAAGGGTACCTGATTTGGTGATTCCAATGTTAAAGGAGACTGGAAGAGAAAATACTTTCCATTAAAGTTTCTCAAAGTTATAAAATCAGTAAGTTGTTAATTAGAAAAAAATTTAAATGTATATTTTCAAAAACAGGCATAAAGAAAGCATTTCCAAAAGCAAAAGCAAAAAAAAAGTCAGTTTGAATTACAGAAATTCAAGGAATTCTGTGTTTTTTCATTAAGCCAGTGACTATCAAGTTTGACTGCACATAACAATCACCAGGTGAGCATGAAATTCCATACCACTAAGAATCTAATTTAACTGATCTGTGATGTCTGGACTGATGATTAGGGTTTCTGTATGTGTAAGTGTGTGGGCTTGCACAATGTTAAGCAAATGCTGTGCCACTGAGTAGCATCTCCAATCCTTGTAGGGCTTTTTTTTCTTTTTTTTTTTTTTAAAGTAGGTATATGAGCTTGAGACAGGGTTTCATCCTGTAATGCATGCTAGATTCTAGCTCAAGATACAACCTCCTGAGGCACCTATCCTTTAAAATTTTTGTTTGTTTGTTTGTTTTTTGTTTTTCGAGACAGGGTTTCTCTGTGTAGCTTTGCGCCTTTCCTGGAACTCGCTTTGGAGACCAGGCTGGCCTCGAACTCACAGAGATCCGCCTGCCTCTGCCTCCCGAGTGCTGAGATTAAAGGCGTGCGCCACCACTGCCCGGCTATCCTTTAAAATGTTTTAAAGCTCTTTGCAGTGAACCTCATGCACAGTCAAGGTTGTAAACTACTGGATAGCTATTACAATTCGTGTTGCAAAATTTACTTTCAAAATTAAAAAAAAAAAAAATTCTGTCATTCAGCAAACATTTCTTTAGAACCTACTATGTTCCTGGATTTGTGCTAGGGATATCATAATAAAGAAAACTCACATTTATGTGTGATTTCACAGAATACCTACCATCCTTATTCACACTTCTAAAACCTAAACCTACATTAACAATTCTATGAAGCACACACTACAGAGGAAGGATCTGACTGAAGACATCCTGGCTACTGTGTCTGTGTTGTGAAACCCTACACAATACTGCCACCCAAAGGAGGAGAGGTCCAACTACAGACTGTTAGGACAGAGAGATGATTTTGACAATTGCATTAAAAATTAAATGCTAAGGTGGGATTTGGGATGATCTTTGGGAAGGAAGAAGCCAAGGTCATTGCCTTCATGGACCAATAAAAGAAAACAAACATACTTGATAGGTAGACTAAATAATTAAGTTAGAAGCAGCTAAGTACCATGGGGGGAAAAGTTGAACATAACAAAAGGGGTGGGGATACAAGAAGAGGAAAATTAACAGTGTTAAACTGAGTGTCTGATCAGTTTTGTCAAGAAATCCTGACCTGATGAAAAGATAAATGTGTTGTAGGAATGGGGAACAGATAAACATATATAACACAAAAGAGTGACCAGCTTTAAAAAGAAAACCATGTGATTTTCAGCATCACAGGAAGGAAAGAAAGTAGAGGAGGAGGAAGGAGGAAAACACTAAAAGTTAGCGTAGTAGAAGAAGAAGCAAGGAAGAATCCAATAACTATTTGCTTTTTTCCATCTAAATGAAATGAGAAAACAACTGAAACATTTTTGTGTAAGGACAAGTGCAATATCTGACAACTTCTTTTATGTTTTTCAAAACAAGGTTTCTCTGTTTAGTCCTTGCTGTCCTAGAACTCACTTTGTAGACCAGGCTGGCCTGGAACTCAGAGATCCACCAGACACTGCCTCCCGAGCGATGGGATTAAAGGTGTACGCCACCACTGCCCAGTCTGACTTAAATTTTTAACAACCACTCAGATTATTACGTTGCTGAGTACAGATAAAGGGTGAAAGTACATGTAGGAATGTTAGAAGACAGTGGCAAAAATCCAGGCCAGGATAATAGTGGCTAGGACCAGGATGGTAACAGTATACAGTTAAAGGTGAGGAATTCTGGATATATTTTGAAGTAAAAATAACAGGATTCAAGATTTTGTGACATACTTGATATAGGGTATTCATGAAAGAAAGGAATAAAGGATGTCTCTAAAGTTTTAAACGAAATACTTGAAAAGACAGAGTACCATCAACTGATGAAACATGAAAAATTTCAAGTTTGAGAGTAACATCCAAAGTTCAGTTTAGACACAGCAAGATACTTAAGATGACACTAAATAGGCAGCTAGATATAATTACATAGTTCAAGAAAGAAGACTTTGTCATCCAACAAATGGCACTTAAAATCAAATGGACTGGACAGGATCACCTACCGCAAGAAAGTAGATAAACCAGAAAAAGAAATTGGGCTGGAGAGATGGCTCAGCAGTAAAAAGCACTGGCTGCTCTTTCCAGAGGACCCAGGTTCAATTCCCAGCACCCACATGGCAGCTCACAACTGTTTGTAACTCCAGAGCCAGCAGATTGGCTTTCTCACACAGACATACATGCAGGCGAAATACCAATACATATAAAACATAATAATAACAAAATCTTTAAAGAAAAAAGAAAAAGAGAGATCATAAACCAGGTTCATAGCACTTCAATGTTAACTGAGTAATTAGCAAAGGAAACTGACGAGGACTAAGCAGCTACAGGTGTGGTATACTGAAATTATTCCAAGGAAATAATCAACTGGAAAATGTTGCCATGTCAAAGAGAGAATTTTAAGTAACAATGAAATTTAACAAAATAGAAGCTAACGATTTAAGTTTGGGCAGAGTAATAATGTGAATTAAGGAGACACAGAAACATGGGAAGTGGGGACTATAAACAGTTCTAGTTTTACTACAAAGGGAAAACAGGCAATAGTTGAGAGGGAAGGTACTTAACATTCGTCTGTAAAATGGGAGAAACAGAAGAATGCTTGATGAAAGATTAAAAACTGACAATTCAGGAAAGAAAGAAAACTGCTAAAGAAATATATTCTGAAATAATTCAGAAGGCAATGGGAAAGATGCATTTAGACTACGACATGGGACGTTCCTTTAGGAAAAGAGGTAGCAAGGCAGAATATGAATATAAATGACAGAGATGATGGTGAGTGTGTAGTCCTCTTTTTATTGTTTCAGTGTTCTCAGTAAACTAAAAAGCAAGATCATTAACTGGGAGTATTGATGCTTTGAGAAAAGAGTAGATGATTGTTGAAGAAAGAGAAAGATACCTCTCTAAAATAATAAAGTGAATCCAGGGAACTACAACAATTCAGTGTTAAGTAGAGCAACCATTTCAAACAACAGTGCATCTATATTCTTGGACTACCATGTCTACTTGCCTCTGGTTGTCTAGCACTCAGGAAAATGTCTGAAACACAGCAGGTCTTTAATAAATGCATGCTGAATTGATTAAGAAAGCCATCTCCTCATAGAGCAAAAAATTTATTTCTCTATCCAATCTGGCCACATAATTTACACTATCCTTAAATCTTAATGAAAACCTAACTCATAAAAGGAATTTTGCTGGTTTAAATGAAAAAGAAAACAGAATTACCTTGATATAATTCAAACAATTCATAAGATTCAACAAATCTCAGTACCAAAAACTAAACCAGATCAACCCCTCACTTTATAGATGAGGAAAATGAGGCCAAGAGGTCAATCTACTACTAGTCAAATAGTTTCACTTGAAGGTATCATAAATTCTACAGATAGAAAAGTCAAAAATAAAAAACAAAAAGCTTACTTTGCCATGTTTTTCCTTCATGGCATTACTTTGGTTGTCTGTTTCTGTCTTCTTGGTATCATCTTTTGGTTGGTCTGCCTTAGCTTTGTTTTCATCAGCAATTAAGTTTTTCTCAGTTGCACTACTTGAATTATATTCCCACTTCACAAACTTCTCTTCTACTATGCCCTTCAGCTGAAAGTCATCCATTCTTTTTGGGTCAAAGCCTTCAATCTATATGAAAAGGCATTCCAAATTGGTAGTAGAAAAATTATTAAAAAAAAAAAAAAAGAGAGAGAGAGAGAGAGAGAGAGAAAGAGAAAAGAAAAAGATAGAGAAACCAGAATTCCACCTTAAAATGTTTGAGCACAACACTCAGCAAGAACTATATATACATACATATATATAAATATATACATGCACATATACACCACAAATTCATGCTTACCCAACTTCCAAGTAAGCAAGGAAGAAGAGGGGGTTTTCTTTGTTGAAGAAAAAACATCACCATTAAAGCAAAGCAGTAAGAAGGGATTCCACCATCAGTTTGGGAGTCAATATAGCACAACTGCAAAATCAAAAGGAAAAAGTCCTAGTATTTAGCTTTCTTCAATTTTCATAGTACAAGTAGCTTGTCCAAACAACAATGAAACTTAAGAAATAATCTGAAATCTCACCATCCAGAATATATTACCTCATGTTACTAGTTCACTGCACATACACCCCACTTTATTTGATACAGGGTTTTACTGTGTAGTCTATCCTTGAAATTCCAAGCATCTTACCATACTCACCCACCCCCCACCCCCAAATAATGCAATTACCGGTGTATACTATCACATCAGGGAAGAAAAACCTTTTAAAATCCAATGACCTCTTTTTAGATGTCAAACACTGGTTAGAAAATACAAATAAGCCCGGGCACAGCGGCATACACCTTTAATCCCATTACTTGAGAGGTATACAGAGGTAGATCTCTGCTAGCTCAAGGTCTACATAGTGAGTTCCAAGACAAATATATGAGTGAGTTCCAAGAGATATATAACAGAGAGACCCCATCCCAAAGAAGTCAAAATTAAAAATAAAAAACTTAAAATCTAAAGATTTAAATTTTAAACATAATTCTTTAATAAAAAATTAACAAAATCAGGTAACTTGACTAGAACTGACCAATGATAAAACTAAAGTTTTTTTACCTTGATTTAAAAGGTTTTGATTTAAAAGGTTTTATCTATAACACTACCTATCACCAGAACTCAAAGAATGTATTATTAACTACTTAAAAGAAAAGGACAAAAAAGAAAAGGACAGAGACTGACCTTAGTGCTCATACTTTCAACCTAAACTACATGACAAGTGATGCCACCATGGATCTCTACTATCTATGAGGGTCTCTGTTACTGCATTCTGATCTGCCATCTGACCCCAAAGAATTAAGGCCTCAGTACTTTGAAGCACAAATTCTTCTTATTCCATCTTGTCTGGGGTCACTTCCTACCTAACTAGCCACTCTACCAGCCTATTAGAGAGCCAAAGCTATAGCTAGATACCCTCATCCCTTAGCAGGCACTTTGTATCCTCACTTAGCTCCTCTCACTACAAGACTGAGCTCTGACTATCTCTAAGAGTGAATGCTGTTACTATGGTCCTGAGTGCCAGTTGGTTCATAGTCTAGGTGAGCAACACCAGCCAATTGCCACTCCCAAGTACAGGATGAAACTCTACCACAAGATCTCCTTTCCAGGACTATTATGCCTATGACCTTGAGGTGCCATTTCATCCACAACCCCAACAAAGACCTGGCTATTATAGCCACCCTCCATGTGCTGCATCAAAACATGAGCTTTCTTTCCTGCTCTGCCAAGAGGCCATTGAACCTTACCCATCAGCACCAGACCTTGCAGGTCCATGTTCTCACATTCTTTCTTGCCCTCCTGCTCCACACCATCACTTAGAGAACTTCTGCTTTCATCCTCTGCCTTCCCTGCTGCACCTAGACCCCTGGTAACTCAAAGGGACCCTACCTCAGCCTGTTGCCCTTCTGGTCAAAGACAAGACCCAATCCTAATGAATATACCAGCAGAAGGAACAGGAGCAGAAACAGCATAGACATCGGGTTTGCAAGATTATGATTCCCTATCTTTGAGGTCAGGGTGTTTTAACCACCCCAAACCCCAACATAACCCACTGCTCATCTTTAGTCACATCTCTACCTGAGTGACAAATGTCTGCCCAACACAGATGTTAAAGGGAGGCATCTGTGCTGTGTGAACCTGGGAGATCCTGAAGTAAATCCAGTTCCCTTCCTTCCCATATTCCAAAATGCATTAACTATTCCAGATGCCAGGGTGAAGCAGGTCCTCAGTGTACAAGCTCAGTGTTCGGATGGAATGCTTCTTAGGATTCCTATGATATATTTGCAGGGTTTGTTGGGGGAGGTGCTAACTATCTTCCCTGTCCAACTCTGGTTATATCTGAGATAAGACACTCACTATATAACCCAGGCCGGCCCTAAACTAGCAATTCTCTTACCGTAGATCTCCAAGTGCTAGAATTAAGTAGTGTATTGGCCCTGCTCAACTCTTACCTCTGGGAATATCATGTGCCATAAAGAACTGGTTTCTATAGACTATTTTGCCTAAACTGTGAGGGTCAGTCAGGTGATGGGAGTTTCTCCCAATGGAGAAAATTGCTTAAATTTCCCTCACCAAGAAAGCAGCCAAAGCCACCTCCAAATCCCTCCCCAACTAGTTAGTAGTCTTCTACTTAAGATGATTTTATTTATTATAGTAACATTTTATAATATTTGCATGTATTGAGCCATCTGCTTCCCTACTAACTTTCTCCTCTGGAATTAGACATGATTTTATAAGCTGGGCGTGGTGGCACATGCCTTTAATACCAGCACTTGGGAGGCAGAGGCAGACAGATCTCTGTTGAGGCCAGCCTGGTCTACAGACTGAGTTCTAGAACAACCAGGGCAGTTACACAGAGAAACTCTGTCTTGAAAATGAAAAAAATAAATAAAATAAAATAAAGATACTAGAATTACAGTATAATATTCAGTAACATATATAAAATAGTAATTAATAAGTAAGGAAACAATCAACTATCATTTCTTATCAGTGATATGAGAAAAATTTATTATATGCTAAATTTTTTTAAACCCCAAATCATAACCTATTTTTCAATAAGCAAATGTGACTATAAAGTTTCAAGAGAAACAAAAATGTTCCAAAACCTTAAATTAAAAGAAACTTGTAAAAAATATACCAGCAATTATGTCTAGGTTTCTTATAGTAAATTAGGAAAATGAAGTACATGAAAACACAACTGCCCCAAATGAAGAACATTATTGTGTCAAAACAGGAATGGACCATTCTGCAGCTCACTGTTCCAGTGCTCTAGAATGACTGGTATGTTGAGACACAATTATGTATCAAGTACCAAGACAATAAACCATGCTAAAAGCCACTTTAGAAACAAAGCTTGTAAGATTACTTTTTTTGTTGTTTTTAATTCAGAATACCTTATTTAAGAAATGAGAAGTAGTGGCACACACCTATAATCCCATCACTCAAGAAGCTGAGTGAGGAGGATTTCAAATTCAAGGCCAGCACGGGCATGGGATATATAGCAAGCTTAAGACTAGCATTGGCTAACCAGCTAGGCCCTATATGGGGGGAAAAAAAAAGTATCATTTATATATATTTTTAAACACAGATTACTTGTTTTATTGAGTAAAAGAATGCCTGTAAGGCAACTGGATATGGTGGTTTGTGATCGCACCACTTAGGAGGCAGAGGCAGGAAGACTGTCCCAAGTTTGAGACAAGCTTGTCCAAATTCCAGATCAGTCAGGGATACATAACAAAAAAGAGAAAAGCTCTGTATGAAAAATATTACTATTTTAGCTCTCATAAAAACAAGGGGCTGGAGAGATGGCTCGGGGCTAAGGAGCACTGGCTGCTCTTCCAGAGGATCTGGGTTCAATTCCCAGCACCCACATGGCAGCTCACAACTGTCTGTAACTCCAGTTCTAGGGGATCGAACACCTTTACAACAATGCACATAAAATAAAGTCAAATAAATTATTAAAAAAAAAACAAGCCGAGCGGTAGTGGCTCACACCTGTAATCCCAGCACTCGGGAGGCAGAGGCAGGCGGATCTCTGTGAGTTCGAGGCCAGCCTGGTCTACAGAGATAGTCCAGGACAGACTCCAAAGCTACAGAGAAACCCTGTCTCAACCCCCCCCCCCAAAAAAAAAACCAAACAAACAAACAAAAGACCCTAGGCCACAGTTTATTATTTCCAATAAATTTTAAAAAATAAATAAAATAAACCTCTCAACCTGCATTAAAAATAAAGGAGAAATGGCTCAGCAGATAAAAGCACTTGCCACAATCTGATGGCCCGAGTTCAAAGCTTGGAACCCACAGTGGAGGAGGGGAAAGTTGACTGGTAACTTCTATACACATGCCATGTCATCTGTGCACCCACAATCACAAACAATTGTATCAGACACACACAAGTACACATATATAGAAAAGACAAAAAGAGAACATTTCTTTTCTATCTCTTTCATTTTTTAGTTTTTCAAGACAGGGTTTCTCTGTGTAGTCCTGGCTGTCCTGGAACTCACTCTTTACACTGGGCTGGCCTCGGGTTCACAGAGATCGACCTGCCTCTGCCTCCCAAGTGTTGGAATTAAAGGTGTGCACCACCACCACCCAGCAAGAGCACATTTCTGTAGTATAAAAAAGGAATGACAATTAAAAATCCCAATGCAACACAGTAATTCTGTATCATAGTGGCCATTATTCATAGCTCTACTTTCTAAACTTGCAGTTCCCCTTAGTCAACTGTGATTCAAAAACATTGAAGAGAGGGTTCAGACTGTAGATCCGTGGCAGAGCCCTTGCCTAGGATGAATGAGAATTCATTCTTCAAAACTGACGTAAGTAAAAAATAAAGTGTTTTAAAAAATAATGGCTAGAGATGATTTGGATGGTTAAGAACACTTGCTGTTCTCGTAGAGGACCTGGGTTTAATTCCCAGCACCCACATGACAGCTCACCATTTTCTATAACTCCGGTACCAGGGGTTTCAACATCCTCTTCTGACCTCCCCAGATTCCAGGCATCCAAGACATATATGGGAGCAAAATACTTGTACACATAAAGTAAGTAAGTTTGGGGGAAAAAATGTATATAAATTAAAGGGAAAATTCCAAAAGCAAATAATTTACAAGTTTCAAATAACTTAATGCATTGCACTGTCATAAATGTCCTATTTTATTATCTTATCTTACCACAGATGTGAATAAAGGAAAAAATAATATATATAATGGCTCATTATCATCTACAGTTTCAAGCATCCAGTGAGGGCTGGAAAAAGGAACCTACATGCCTAGGAGACCTTATTTTGATGTCCATGATGGAACCAGACACATGGTTTTCTGTATGCAACAGACAACTATTTCCTACTCCATGTTATAATTTATATGTCAGAACAAGAAAAAGCTTGACTTATTTTCTTCTGTTCTACTTACCTTAGCCCAATAGCGAAAGGCTAACACTAAGGGAGTGAAGACAGGTTCCACTTTGCCAAGAGCAGCAAGTAAGTCAGTAGTGAGACATGCCATATCATTTCCTGCACTCACTCTACATAGTAAACCACTGTGAATGAGAAACAAAGTTTGTTTGTATTAATACCTCTGCTTTAATTAATACCTTTAATAGCTTCAAAAACCCAGAGGCTATCCTTTTCAGTCACCATACTTTAATAACCAGAAAAGTTATTATTGAGACTGGAGAAATGGTGCAGCAGTTAAGAGCCTGTGCTGTTCTTGCAGAAGACTTCAGATCTGTTTCTAGTATCCACAAAGATACACATATAATAACTGTTTTAAGTCACAGTGAAACATTTCTTCTGCTCCTTTACTTATTGTATATAAACATATGTTGCCATGGCATGCACATGGAAGTCAAAGGAAAATTTGTGGAAGTTGGTTCTCTGCTTCTTTCATATGGGTCTCACAGAACAAGCTCAGATGGGCAGGGGTTTTTTTTGTTTGTTTGTTTGTTTGTTTTTTTCAGATGGGCAGGTTTTGAGACAAGCAATTTTACCCATGGAGCCATCTTATCAGCCCACATGTTTGGAAGATGTAAGGACAGACTCTTGCTATAAAGCCCAAGCTAAGATTACAAGCTTAAGCCACCAATGACACTAACATCTTCAATGTCAATTAAGATAGCATACTTCTCTTGGCTTTGTACATGACAAAATTTAAAAATTAATTTACTAGCTATAATTCTCAACTCTAATTTCTTAATCAAGCTTTCATAATTTTGTTGTTACTTTCAAGTGAATTTACCTATTAATCCATGACTCATGCTTTTGAATAGTGAAAACAGGAATGAGAAGAATACAGTGGAGACTATCCCGGGGAAGGGAGGTGGAGTAGCAAAAAGAAAAATTAATCTGAAGCTCTCTGTCAACACACAGGCAATTTGATACAATATGAAAAATACTGTTTCCTGTTTTGATTTGACCTATTAGAAGTCAAATGCCTACATTCCATTATTGATTTTGTCTTAAATGATATAAATTTGGACAAATGCTTACCCTCTCCCAGTCTCAATTTTCTGATTTGGAAAATAAGGAAGTTGGGCTGGCAAGATGGCTTAACTAGCCAAGTAAGCCTGAAGACCTCAGTTCAATCTTTAGAACCAATCCCAGAACCCATGCAACGCTTTGAAGGAGAAAACCAACACTATAAAGTTGTCTTCTGACCTTCACACTCATGGGATGCAAACAAACACATACAATAATAAAATATTTTAAAATCCAAAATAAGGAATTTGAACTAGATCTCCACAAAAACTTTTGAATTTAAAAAAAAAACACAAAATCTTAGACTACAAGAAAAACAACTTAATAATCAACAGAAGAATGTTTGACCTTGTATTTTTTCCCATGTTGATCTCAAGTAGTATTTAGTTCCTTTTCTTCCTCCCTTCCTTTCTTTTTTTCATTTTTTTGAGACAAGGACTCACTATGTAGCCTTGGCTGGTCTGTGACTTGCTCTGTACACAAGGCTGGCCTCAAAATCAGAGATCCTCTGCCTCTGCCTCACAAGTGCACCACCACGCCCAGTTATTTCTCCATTTTCAAAGGTACTTCTACCCTTTCAGTCCTACAGACATCTGACTAGAAGGGCAATGAATCATGCTCATTAAATGAAAAATAGATTGTAAATAAAGTATTTCTTAATTATTTATCTTGTGTATGTGTGTGTACACATGCACGCACATATTTAAAGAAGGGCAGGAGACAACCTTCAGGAGTCAGTTGTCTCTTTTTACCACGTATGTCTCAAGGAAAGCTCAGTTCTTCAGGCTTGGCAGCAAGTTCTCTTACCTAATAAGCATCTTGCCAGCCCCTAGATTATAACAGGCAGTAAAACCTTATCACGAGTGGCTACTTCTTCAATTTTTCTATCTCCACAGCAATACAGTACTTACACAAAAGTAAATGCTGTTGGTATTGATGGTTGAGTAATTGAGTTTAGGCAGAAAAGAAGAGAAGGGGAGGAAAGGGAAGAGGAGGGGAGAGGAGAGGGGGAGAGGGGAGGGGAGGAAAGGGAAGGAAAGGGAAGGAGAGGAGAAAAGGAAGGGAAAGAAATAAAAAGAAAGTTTGACCTAGAGTGTTTTAACTCTGCTAGCTCAATTTCTTGTTCACATGCATTTGGTATGCTTTAATAAATGACAACTAGTATGGTCATATTAACCTAATGAGAAATCTAAGACACACAATTTCTTCTCTTGGAAATGTTCGCAACAAATTTGGTTCTCTGTAGTTTTTTCATTGTTTTAATGATGGGTGTGAGTGTATGAACAATGGCTTACATGGGATACAAGGAATGGAACTTTTATGTGGTAAATGAGCCATCTTGCTGGCATGTGTGCATGCGTGCGCGAGTGTGTACACAAACATGCATGGGTACATTCACAAATGTGTGTGGTGGCCAGAGGTTCACGTTGAGTATCTTTGACTATTGTTCCCCTTCTTGTTTAAAACAGGTCCCTCACTGAACCTGAAGCCCGACATTTTGGATAGGCTGGCTGCCCAGCAAGCCCCTAGGGGCTCCCTGTCTTTTCCAGAAGTAGGTTTGTCCAGCTTGTTATCTCATCACTAGGGACCCAAACTCAAGTCCTTATGTCTCACACTGTGCAGCAAACACTTTACCCACTGCGCCATCTTCTCTGCCCAAGGTTTGTTTTCATAAATACCTTATTTTCTTCATTACCAACCTTTTCCGATCTTTGCACACCACAACAGGAACTTTAGCATGAAAATCAGATTCCACATCTACATATAATGCTAATAAGAGGGAGGGGGAAGTAAGTTAATGTCAACATCTCTAAGTATTAATTAGTAAACAGTAAATAACAGTTCCATTCTAAAAATAACTCTCACTACCTCTGTGGGATAACCCAGTAACAATTTCATTCTAAAAATCATTCTCATTTCTGTGGAATAACCCACTCTTCTTATTATGAAAATATTAAGAATCAAAAGAATCTCTTACCTTTCCCGGAATCATCTGTTTATACTACAAACCATGAGTATAGTCTTAAATACTGTTTGGAAATTAGAAGCACCTTAAGAACAAAGGGCTTTTAACATCCCTAAAAGTTTGAATATTTCCAAGTAAGTAGACAAACTTTACAGATACACAGCAAAGAGGGGACATCACTTACTTCTGAGGGCTACAGCCATAGGAGAACTTATGCTTTGCCATTCAAGTACAACTCTTGGCCTCACCCAATTAATTTTTCCAAAATTTACCTAATGAAAGCTTCTTAGGAAGAATTAATGTGTGTGTGTGTGTGGCAGGGGGG